CCTTCCTTCCTTCCTTCCTTCCTTCCTTCCTTCCTCTATCTACCTACCTACCTACCTACCTACCTACCTGTTTTATATAGCCGCCATCTCACACAAAGTGACTCTGGGCGATGTACCTTTTTGTATCTATTTTCCCATAAATGCATATCACATTCCCAAACACCCCCCCCACACACACACAAAAGAAGGACACAAATTTCACATCACGTCCCTGTCCACATCCTCAGGGATTGGAAAAAACCAGCTTCCAGAGGGAAGAACAGTTGCCCCCAGGCGCTTTATTTATTACCTCTGCAAACTTGGCAACAAGACCCTGGCATCATCTCGGGAGTGGCGCACGGCAGCTCCAGACAGGTTATCAAGCCGCAGTAAATCTGCCCGTCCTACAGAACGCGAGAGCCGAGAGTGGGGTTAGGAGCAGAAGCTGCTTCAGCAGCCCTGGGCGGGGCGGGCGGCCGGTGGAGGACCCTTTCCTACAGGATCGTGGCCGCGGAGACGTACCCAACAGCTACACTGGATGCACTGGTCTGGCTGCCGGGAAGGAAAGGGTTCGTCCGTGGTGAAAAGGCTGCCGTCCTCATACAGCGCCCCGTTGTACTCGCAAGCAGAACCAAGAGGCGTCTGAATTTCGGGGGGCGCATGCAGCTCTGCAGGCGAGAAAGAGGGATCCAACAGAAAAGGAACAGCTTCTCTCTTCCACAGATAGTCCTCATTTAACGACCGTTTATTTAGCAACTGTTCAAAGTTACGATGGCGCTAAGGAAATTGTCTTATGACCGGTGCCTGAAGTTACAACCATTGCAGTGCCCCGTGGTCATGTGATCGTGATCCAGGGGCTTGGCAACCGGCTCACACTTATGACGGTTGCAGCGTCTTGGGATCATGTGATTGCCATTTGTGACCTTCCCAGCCGGCTTCCAGCAAGCAAAATCAATGAGGAAACTGTGATTCACGTAACAACTGTGGTGATTCACTTAACGAACACCACAAAAAAGGTAATAAAATCGGGTCTTGTCACATGATGATTTGCTTAACGACTGCATTGCTTAGCAGCCTAAATTCCAGTCCCAATTGTGGTCATTAAGTGAGGACTACCCGTACTGTCTTGTCTTCTAGACCTGGACAAGATTGAGCTCCAACCATCTCCATAGGAGCAGAACTGCCAGAGGTCAGCCCCAAATGAACTGGAGTGACTTTATCCAACGGATGCTTGGCACAGTCCGTATGGCGGCCCTGCAAGGGTTCCCCTGACCCCTCCTCACCCAGAAGGGAGCAAGTCCTCCAAAGCAAGGTCACTGGGTGGCTATCTGAGGATGCAATAAGGAGAAATACGCGGCACTGTGTTGTGCTGGTTCCCCTCCTTCCTCCGGGGTCGGTTCCAGTCGGTGCTGAGAGGAGGCTACGGCCCCTACTGTGTGGGGTGCCACAGGCTTGGTTCTCTCGCCCCTCTTCTTTAACATCTACATGAGGCCGCTGGGTGAGGTGATCCGACCGTTCGGGGTGGGGTATCTTCAGTATGCTGATGATGCCCAGCTTTGTATCTCCTCCCTGGGCTGTCTGTGCTGCCGTGGATCTCCTGCCTCAGTGCCTGGAGGCTGCAGGGGCCCGGGTGGGGCACAATGGGCTCCGGCTCAACCCAAGCAAGACTGAGTGGCTTTGGGTGTCTGGGCCTCCCAGTACCAAGGTTCTTCCATCGCTGGTTCTGGATGGGGCGGTTCTGACCCAGACAGACCCGGTGCGCAATCTGGGGGTCCGCTTGGACTCACGGCTCCTGCTGGAAGAGCAGGTGGCAGCCGTGCTAAGAGGGCCTTTGCACACCTTCGGGTTGTGCGTCAGTTGCGCCATTCCTGGACCGGGAGGCTCTACTCGCTGTCACTCATGCCCGCGTGACCTCCCGTTTGGACTACTGCAACGCGCTGTACATG